ATCCCAGGCAGGCTCTGCTCTGCCACTGCAGAGCCTGACGTGGCGCTTGAACCCATGAAGCTGTGAGGTCATGACCTGAGCCGAAACCAAGAGTCGGACACTTAACCGACTGAGCCACCCAGGCGACCCGAAAGAATGATTTTTATTTCACTGTTAATGTTCTGGGTCCTTGCACAGTCTCTCAAACCTTGGAATCGTTTCCTGATCCAGACTGGTTTTCGTTCAGTTCCTGCTTTTTATCACAGCCACTTTTAAAAAACGTAGCGTCATCTAAAGGAACGTAACCTGAATTAGTACCGAAAAGAATATCGTCGAGCTAGTAGTTTGTGCGGTGTCTGACCACCGTCAGGTATTACCGTGTCCCTCAAAAATATCTGGTACCTCAGGGCACCTGTGAGTTCACTGTGGCACCCTGAGGGGTACCTTGGCACAGAAGTTGGGGAACTGTGGGTCTGGATGCCATCTATGAAGGAGGTGATTTGTATCTTTAACCAAGATGGAAATAGGGACAGACGGGTCATTCAGAGTAGGCATTGCTTGCTTACAAATTTTCTCAAAGTTAATAGGTTTATCTCCTGGAGGAGGTAGGCTTCCGTGAGGTGCTTGATGGTGGTACAGTTCTTAGTGCCCAGCACGGTGCGTTCATATTGTCTGTGCAACCTTCTTGCACACCTGGGGCCATTCTCCCTGCAGATTGAACCCGTTGCTGAGAAATCTGTCCGTCTCAGTGATTCAGTTTTGCCTTTGTTTTTTATGTTAAGAAAATGGACGTCGAGCGAAGGTGCGGACATCGTTAACGCTCCTAAGTTCAACTCCATTTTTAACAGTTTAATTGCCGCTCTTCATTCCAAATTAGTCTGTAGACCCGTGAGTACTAGGTGTCAGAGTAGCCTTCGTGTGTTTACAAGCGAGACCAGCGATTCTGTCAGCAGCTTCTCCAAAGAGACCTGTTCTGTCCACAATTCTAAAACCGTATTTGTCAGATATCGGTAGCTGTTCAGAATTCTTGGTCTTCTTGGTGTTTGGGAATCCATTTCCCTCAGTGATTTTTCTGACCACCCAGTGAGATGTGTCTGGACGAAAGGAAGGGGCTAATAACTGGCTAGCGTGCATCGGGTGGTTCCCTTGGTCCCTGGAAGAGTTTTGTGTCGCAGAGGGAGCAGGCTCCGGGTCGGGGACTGCCCGGCTGAAGGGCACACAGAGCAGCCCAGCTAAGAAGTGACAAGGCCAGGGTTCGGTAGCGGCGGGCAGTGAACTCGGGGCCGTTGACAGCCACGCTGCCTTGAAGTGATTTGACTGGGAGATTGAGGAATTCACAGTATGTTTGAACCACAGTTTTTTTCTTCCAGTGAACACCTTCATTAACCTTTCCTTTCAAGAATCTCTAGGTTCAGTAGGTAGTCTAAGCGAAGGAGAGAAACTTTTCTGAAGAAGTGGCTCGTCTTCACGGTCTCGGATGAGTGGTGCGTTTGCTGCGGTTGCCGTTTGGAAAGCACACGCACGTGTCCAGCACCAGCCCCTGCCCGAGGGTGGCCCCTTCCCGTGTGTCCCTCCAGCCTTTTTGTGTCCGTATGCATTCGTGTTTTCGAAATTACATTTTTAACTTTCGTTACCGAGAGGTTCCTCTGCGTGTGGGAGGTGCCGCGTGAGTACAGGACAGCGGGAGGGGTCTCCTCGGAGAGAGAAGGCGCCACCACGGGATAGCGAGGGCCGTGCGTCACCCGTGATTCGTCACGGCTTTATCTGGAGTCACGTAGTCACCAGAACGATTTCCGCCTCTGTCAGAAGGGAAGGGACATGGACTGCGTAGCTGTGGAAGGGAGCCACGTCTGTGTGTGTCCCCCGACACGGACGTGAGGTGAGACGCTGCGGTGCAGCGTTCTAGTGCCGTCCCGGTGACGCCAGGCTGTGAGGCTACCCAGGC